TAAGAAAGCAAAAAATAAAAAGATAAAAATATTACTATGAAAATAATATATAAAATAAAAATTATATTTAAAAAATTTAATTATAAAATATAAATATAAATTATTTATTTAACTTTCTTTTAATATTAATCGATTTCATATATTAAAAAATTATAAAAATAAAATATATTTAAAAAAAAAATACCAGAATATTTTAGAAATTTCATCTTTATTTAAAACAAAAAAAGAATAAAATGTCAACTTAATGTCATACCCCTAATTAGCCATTAATAGATTCTTCCTATTAAAATTTTACTTAAAACCCTAATTTACAAAAAGAAGACACTTAATAGTCTGATTCTTAAATAAATCTAGTATAAACAACAGAAGAAAGTTTATAAATAGAAAAAAATTAAAATAAGCAAATGAAGATAAAAATCAAGCCAAAAATTTAGTCTAAAATAAAGATTATTAAAAGCAATTTAAGTTTATAAAAATATTCTTGACTTTATATCTTCCTAAAACCTTTCAAATACCAATATAAATACCTAAATATTACAAGAATATAATACTTTAAAAGTTTAGCTCTTAAATAATATATCTTTATGTTATTTTAACTTAAAAAATATTAAGAATCTTTAAATTTTGCCCAAAAAGTTACTTCTTTCGACTCTTAAAATGCAAAATCAGCCTACCGAAGGGCTATGGCTTACAAAATGTTGCAAAAATATGAAAAAGCTTATGAAGAAATACGCGATGCACGTCTAATGTGTGCTATTTAATAAACATCAGATGAAAATATAAGCCAAGAATATAAAAAAATAAAAGTCCTAATGCAAGAATAAAAGCTATACAATAGCAATCTGATAAAATCTCAAAAAATATAAACTATATAAAAGCTAACAAAGAAAAAAAATGCTTTAACATAAATCTAATTTGCAATAGCATCCGGATTTACCTCTTATATCACTTCTAAATAATTATTAAATGTTGGAGTTTTCTCGCCTTTAGGTATTTTCTCAAGTTCTATATTAAATTTTAGTCTTTATTTATTTATAAATAATAAAAATACTAAAGAAAAAGCAATATATGGAAGTTTAATTATAGTTTTATTAGTTACATTTTATAAAATTAGAACTTAGCATTATTTATGAAAATTGTATTATTCGTATAATATATATATATATAATATAATATAAAATTAAATATATATATTTATAAAGAATATTTATAAAATATTATTTTTCTATCCTATATTTATTAGTTTTTATTATAAAAATAAAATAAAAATGATAATGTAATAATATTAAATCTTCAGTTTAATTTATTAAAAATATCAATAGAAATATTTTTTGGTTGTTTATATTTGTTTTAAAAAATAAAAAAAATATATAAATAAAAATAATATATATATATATATTTATAAATATATATATTTATGTGTAAATATTTCAATCATATATGATTATTACTTTTTTATAAAATTTAAATAAAAAAAATTAATATAATATGAATATAATATTAAAATTTTTATATATTTTTTTTTTATAATTTTATATTTATATATTAAATATTTTTTTTAATAATATTTATTTTTATGATTGTCTCATTATTTGTATATTTATATTATATATATTTACTTTTTTATATAAAAAATATTTCTTTTTTTTTTATCAATATTAAAAAATGATTATTACAAAACACAATTTTTTTTATGTTTGTTAAATTAATGAATTATGTCAAATAACTTCACTGTAAAATAAAAATACTTTAATTATTGATTTACATAACAATTAAACTGATTTTGAAGATCTCTAAGAAAATTAATAGTTTTTTATAAATTCAAGCAAAATCGACTTTCCTATAAATTAGTTTTATTTATATTTAAATAAACAAAATTCTTAATTTTTAAAACCAATATTTTAAAAAATATAATTATCATTAAATAATTGTAAATATATGAATATTTTAATTAAAGAAAATGGTTTAATAGAAGGGTAATTTTTAAAAAATGTTTTTTAATAATTATAAAGATTAGAATATTTATGTCTAAATTTAAACTTTAACGAAATATTAAATATAGAAGAAATATTTGAAGGTTTAATATAATAAAAAATAAAGCAAATTCATTTGAATTTATAAGGAATAAACATTGAAAATAAATACTTCAAACTAGACTAAATCAATATAAATTATTTAATCGAATTCAAAATTAATCTAAAATAAAATAATATAAGTGTGGAGGGTTGTAAATTATTATTTTAAGCAGTTTCTAAGATGATTTTTTTATTTACTTGCAAAATAGATTTAAGTCTTAATCCAATTAAAAATTAGGGATTTTTAATGATAATGAAAAGTTTAGAGAAGTTTATATAATTATAAAAACTTAAATTAATTCTTAATGGTTGTCAGTTGGATAATGAAAATGAATTTTTAAGGTTTGATACCTGTTTTTTAGGAATAGCTTAGACTTTGGAAATTCTTGTGTTAGATTTAAGTTCTAATAGGTTGTCAGATAAACAAACTAAATATATATTAAAAGAAATATAACTTTGTAAAAAAATTACTGATTTAGATATATCTTTTAAGTATTTGGATTTTATAATTATTATTTTACATATGTTTTATTTTAATAAGAAATAATTTGGTTTAAGAAGATGTTGGAAAATAATTAAAAAAAGTTTTTTAAAATTTAAATAATATTATTAGTTTAAGGATAAATTTAAATAGTTTTCATTTTAGTAATTAAGAGTATTTTATTTTTTAAATAAAATTAAATATATATTTATAATATTTATATTTTAGATAAACAGAAAATTGCTTAGGATATAATGGAACTTAAGAAATAAAAAAGGATTATAATATTTGAAAGAATTAAAAATATTAGATTTAAGATTAAAAGGTAATCATATAATCAACCAAGGAGTAATTGATATTGGAGGTTGTTTAGAAAAAAATAAATAATTTGAAAAAATATCTTTAAATTTAGCGTATTATAATAAAATGATATAAATAATAATATAATTATAATATAAATATAAATATAAATATAAATATAAATATAAATATAAATATAAATATCTTTTATATAACATTAATATTATATATTTTATATTTTATTTTAATATTCTTAGTGGAAATAATATTTAAGAATATGCATTTATTCAATTAGGATTAAATTTAGAAAATTAAACAAATTTAAGATATCTTCATTTGGACCTTAGGTAATAATTTTTTGTAATTTATATTACTATATATATTTTTTATATATAGTTGGAATCGCTTAGAAGATTAAAGCTGTTTTTCATAATTATCAAATACTCTTAAAAAATTAATACAATTAGAATCTTTTAATTTTAAAATAAAGTATTTTTAATTTTTTTTTTTTTATATATATATAAAAAATAGTTTTAAAAACAAAATTTTTTCACAATAAATATAATAATTAATTCCAGGATTAAAAAGTTTGATATATTTAAAACATTTAAGTTTGAATTTGATGTGGTCTAAATTTTAAATTAAAGGAATTTAATTGCTTGCTTTTGCTATTTCTGATTTAACTTAATTAATTACATTAAATTTAAATTTAGGGTTTCTTTATTAAAAATAAAAAAAATATAATTTAATATTAAAAATATAATAAATAGAGGATGCCGAATATGTAACAAAGGTATTTATGTATTAAGATTAGCTTTAGAAAAATTAATTAATTTAAGAAAACTAACATTGAATTTATAGTTATATAATATTTTGATTTTTTTAAAATTTATTTAATAAAATTAAAAAAAAAAGTAATAATAACTTAAATGATTCTGGTGCTCATGAAATTTGCTTAGCCTTGATTAAAATGCCTAAATTATAAATGCTAGATATGGAATTAAAGTAAAAATAATAATAATATATAAAATTTAAAATGATTATTTATAAATAAACAAACAAACAAAAAATAGCTGGAACAATATAGGAGATATTGGCGCATAAGAATTAGTATATGTTATAGAATAAAAAGGTTTGAAAAATTTTTGCGAATTAAAAATATCTTTGACAAATTCTTAAGTATCAGAATAAAATGAAATTGAGTGCAAAAAATATTTCGATAAGTAATAAGAAGATAATATAATTGCTTTTAATATTGATAAAATGCATGAAATAAAAGAAAAATATGTTTGCTGTTCTGGATAATTTTTTACACTAAGAAAAATTCATAAAAAAGAGCCATTTATATTTGAACCTATAATATTTTATGGAATAAATGATCCTAATTTTATTATGTATTCTGTCAATAAAATATCGAAAGTTATGAATTAAAATAACTTTGTTTTGAGCAATATTTTTGATAAAAATATAATTGAAAAAATAAAAAAAAATACTTATTAAATACATGAGGTTAATTGTGATTTTTAATATGCAAAATAAAATTTAGAAGTTAAATTATTTAATGAAAATTAAGCTTTGTTTTAATAAAATCAATAACTTAAAATAAAAAAAGAGATATTACTTGAATAAATACGAAACAAAGAATAATAAACTCAATAAGCATAAGAATAAAAAAAAATAACTTATGAATAAGTTATTTATATTTTATTATTATTAAATTTTATATTTATTTTTTAAAATAATATATTATTAATATAGATAGAGAAATTAAACTAAGAAATATTAAACATTAAATTAAATAATTGATAAATAAAAATATTTAAAATAAAATAATTAATAGAATTGTGGTAATATACATATTATATAAAATTATTCGAAAATATTTTTATATTTTAAATAAATAGTGTTTTAAATTATATTAAAAATAAAAATTAACCATATATAAAAAATAAAAAAAACCATACAATAAAAATAATTTTATTAATTCTTTAAATTTTTTTTTTTTATTATTAATTTTCAATTAAATAATTATTTATATGTAATTTGATTTAAATCTAAACATAGATGAAGCTTATTTTATCTAAATGAGAAAAAAAGATTTAAATTAATATAAGAATTTGTGTAAATATTATGCTAAAATGTTAGATGTCACAAAAGAGTTAGAAACAGTTTTAATTTTATATAAATAGAAAAATCAAAAAAAAAAATCAAAAAAAAAAATAACTAAAGCTTGCTTATTTAATTATTAAAAAATATTTTATTGAAAGAAATGAAGAAGAAATATGTGTATTATAAAAATGGACATAATAATTTAAATTTTTTCAAGATTTAAATTAAAAAAAAAGTAATTAAGCTCTTAAATTACATGAAAAATGTTGTTCTCGATTAAAATTTGAAACTTTAGAAGCCGGAAGTCAAGTTTTTATGGTAGGTAAAAATAAATATTATTAATTTCTTTGTTTTATTAAAATAAAATAGGAGATTAATCAGATAAATTTTATATAGTTATTAAAGGTTCCGTGAATGTTTTGATTCCAAAAAGCTAAGAACAATTAAAAAAGGAAATATAAACTTATTAAGAGGAGTGTAAAAAAAATGTAATTTAAAAATAGTATTAGCCTCATTTAAGAATAGAAAAATTTACTGAAAAGTAGAAGCTTATAAAAGTACTCAAAGAATAATATTCGAAATTATAATAATGTACAAATGAAAAGTTAATGAAACTTTTAAAACAAAGGACATCAAATGAACTTTAAAATAATGTATAATTAATTTTTAGAAATAATAATATATATATACAAAAAAAGGATTTAAAATAAATTAGGGAAAATAATTTTGCTATTAGTAATCCTTAAGAAAATGGTAACATAAAAAAATATTATAATTTATTTAATAAAATAAAAAAAAGATAACTAAGTTTCTTAAGCTTTTTAAGAAAATAATATGGATAATAATCAAATTGATAAATAAAATCAAAACACAAATTTAAATAATACTTTTCAATATAACTTTTAAAATTTAACTTTATAATAATAAGATTTAATAAATTTTTAATAAGATTGTCCTGATGAAGAAAATGATCTTATATATAAATAAATGGGTAATATAAAATTATCAGCAATTAAAGATATTCAAAAGTAATAGAAAAAAAAAAAAATACAAAAAAAAAAAAAAAAAAGATTCTTTATTGATGGAGTAGCAAAACATAAATACTTCATGACTATACGAAAAGGGGAAATGTTTGGAGAATTAGGTTTGATAATGAAAAAAAATAGAGCTGCTACAATAATAACGAAAGAAGATACAGAATTTGCTGTTTTAGATTCTGGAGATTTTAATCGCATTTTACAATAAGCGGAATTAAGAAAGTTTAATGAATATATACAGTTTTTTTCTGATACTATAATGTAAAATTGTAGTAGAGAAGTTGTTGTTAAATATTCATATTTTTTTAAAAAAGTAAAATATGAAAAAGGCTAATTTATTTATTAATAAAATGATAAGTCTAATTATGTATATCTTATTAAAAAAGGAATTGTTTAAGTATTTTTTAATTTTAAAATAATAAATAAAAAATAAATAATAGTTAAAAAGAAACATAAAAATTGAAGAAAAAAATAAAGAAGAAATATGCTTTTTACAAAGATAAAAATAAAAGTATTTATAAGCCCCAATAATAGAATATTTAAAAGGATAATAATTTGGAGAAATCGAAGTTATAAATGATACTAATAGAAATAATGACGCTATCTGTATTTCTAATAAATGTACTTTATTTTAAATGAGTAATAGTGTAAAATAATATATTTATTTTTTATAATTAAAAAAAAAATAAAAAAGAACTTTTTAAAATTTCTAAGAGAAAATTAATTTCTGGAAATTATTTTTAAAAAATAAATTTAATTAAAATAAAATAACCAGTAAAATAATATAAAATCATATATGAAAAACATTCAATAATAAGACATAAATAATTAATAATATATTTAAAAAAGTAATATTTTATAAATATAATAAATCGCTCAAGAAAAAATAGCATCGAATCGTCATAAATAATAGTCTTTATAAATAGGATAAGATTTATAAAAAGTATAATATTTAAAAGAATTTACATCTAGTTAAAGTTAAGTCTTATAAATGAATTAAAAATAAAATGATTTATCAAATGTTTAGTAGTAAAATTCCTTTAAATAAAGTTAGTTATATGAAAATTTATTTCAATGTTTTTAAATTAAAAAACCAGATAAAGTAACTTCTCCAGACTACACAAAAATAAAATTAAGATAGGTAAATAAATATTTATATATATATTATTATTAATATATATTAAAATAAATTTCTAGATTATTCATGTATAAGGAGATATTAAAAATACATTAAATTATGAATTAATGTAAATAAAGAGTTAAATAAAAAATCAATAATAAAGTAGTCCAGTCAAAAATTAAGATTAATTAAGCTAGTCTTTTAGATAAAACAAAAGAATAAGCTAGATTTCGATTAATAATAAATCTATTGATGAATCTGATAGTTTATAAAATTAGTTTATTATGAAATGTAAAGCCAATAATATACGCTATGAAAAAAAAAATTCAGTTGATGATTCCCCTTAGTCTACTTTTTCAAAAGAATAAAATATATCTAATAGTCATATAAAACATAAATAATTAGATATTAATAAGAAAGTATAAAATATTAAAAACTAACTAAATAAATTTAATAAATATTAAAAGTTTAATTAATATAAAATAAAAAAATAACAAAAAACATCAATAATTTCTTTAATAAATTTTTCAGATAACCCTTTTTTAAATGGACATATGTAAAATAATGAGGAAATAAATAATTTTTCCTAAAGATTTTTTAACTAAACTTCTTAATAATTAGATTAAATCATTGAAACTTATCATAATAATAATATCTAAACTTAAAACAATTTTCAGTCAAATCAAAAAATATAAACTTAAATTAATAGTAATTATTAAACTAATTGTAACTTCTATAAACCAGATTTAAAATTTTCTAAATAAAATATTAAGTCTTAATTATATGTTAGTAAGCATAGCTTATTTAGATAGTAACCTAAAAATTTGTTTCTTTTTGATAGATATTATTAATAATCTAAAAATAAATAAAAATAAGTAAATTAAAATAATAATTAGTAATTACATATTTTTAATAATAATAATGTTATTGAAGATAATAATTATAGAATACATTTAAATAAATGAAATATTATTAATTAAAAAAAAAACAATAATTTATATTTTTTAGAATGTTTCTCCATTAAAAAAAGCTATATTTGATTAATATTAATATTAATTTATTTTTTATTTATTTTATTATTATATTATAAATAACTTTATAATTTTAATAAATATATTTACTTTATACTTGTTATTGTTCTTATAAGATTATTTATTGAAAATAATATAAAATTGATTATTAAAAAAAAAAAACTAAATAAAACATATATTTATTAAATAAATTATTATTAAACATATTATATATTTTTTATATAAATTTAATATTTTAATTATAATTTATTTTTATTTTTTCTTAAAATTAAACTTTTTTTCAATAATAATATAAAAAAAATTGATTATATGAAAAAATTTATAATAAAATAAAAATATTTATAATAATATAATAACATATTATTAAATTTTATTTCTTATAATTTTTATTTTCATATTTTAATTAAATAAATAATATAAATAAAATAAAAAAATGTCAGTTATTGTTCAAAACGGAAATTAAATATGTAATTCCCAACTAAATCATTCGCCATCTAAAATGATGTATTCTTTTCCAAAAGAATAGCGTTTTAAGGAAAATAAATAAACCTCGTATATAATTTATTTTAAATAATATTCTAAAATATTAAACTCATATATTTATTAATTAGGTCTACATAGGCATTTTACGACTTGCCTTCTTTAAAAATGTACAGAGCTTCAGGAATAGGTTATGGAGGCAAATGTACAATTTTTTGTTTTTTTTTTTGAAAAATAAAAATAAATAATAAAATTAATAAAAAAAGATGATTTTACAAAATAAACTACTAAGACTCCTGCTCCAAATGCTTACGAACAAAAATATAATACAATAATTGGAGATAAAAAAGGATGGTCATTTGGTTTAAGCAGAGAAGTAAAAAAATAAAAATATATTACAAATAAATACAAAAACTTTAATAATTAAAATAATTATTTTTAAAATAAAATAATTTTTCGAAAAAACTATTTATGATATTTTATTTTTAAAAAAAACAGTAAATGACTATATGTTCAGGACCTCTTGGAGTTTCTATGGCTAGTAAAGGACCTGGTCCAGGTATATTTCTAAAAATTTTTTTAAAAAAAGTTTAAATAAAAAAAATATTTTTAATATATATTATTATAGGAACATACAAATCAGTTAGTGGACTAAGCAGTTAAGCATTTACTTTAAGAATGAAAACATAATCACCTGATCAGAAAAATACTTATTTAAAAACACCTGGCCCAGGGGTATATTATTATTATTTTATCATCTTAAATATGATATTATTATTTAATATAAAGGCATATTCATATTTACCTGCAATAACTGAAAATGGAAAATATTTCGTTTCAAAATTCAAAAAGTAGCATTTTTTATTTTTAATTATATAAAAAATTTACTAATATTATTAATAATCTTACAATAAATAAAACTAAACATATATTTTTTTTAAGTTCTGGTACTTGCACATTTAATCCAAAAGGTTAAAGATTCGCAAATAATATTAAAGATTTAAATCCTGGCCCTGGGTATATTTAAAAAAAACTAAAAAAATAAAAAAATATTTAGAGCTTATCCATCAATTGCAGGAATTACTATTAATGGATAGTATTTCGTATCTAAATATAAGTCTAGTGGATGTAGAACATTTACTCATGGTGCAAGAAAACCTGAATAAGTTGGAATGCACAAAGGACCTGGACCAGGTTTTTTTGTTTTATTATTTTTTGGATTATTTAAATTTTTATAAATAAAAGGATCTTATAGATTACCAAGCGAATTCGGATATTATGAAAAAGTTCCTAAATGAATATAAAAATTATTATAAATTATATATTAAATGCTTTACATTATAAAAATAATTATAATAAATTTTTAAAAGTTTATTTAATTATATATTAATATGATTATATAAAGTTAAAAATTAACATGTAAATAATAAAAAAATAATAAGATATAAATCATAATATAAAATATAAATATAATAAACTTTAATATTATATTATATATTTATTAATATATAAACATTATTAATATCAAATTTAACTTTTAAATAAAAGATTTTTTTATCTTTAGAACAGATCTTGATATTTTTTTAATTATTTAAAAGGTAATTCATTTTATTTTTCCTATTTATCTTTTAACCTTGAACTAATATTTTTTTTAACGATTCTATTTTAACTAAAGTAATTACTGCTACCTTTATTATTATAAATATCTAAAAGCGAATAATTATATTTATGTTTATTTCCTATATTTAAATTAGTTTACTCTAATTTATTTTTATCTTAAAAATTCTAAAACTAACTTTTAAACCCTAAAATATTTTAATAAATATGATTACTAGAATTAGAAAACTATTAGTTTTTATAAACTTTACTTTTAAGTTAATCAATTTACTAATCGAATATTGAATATTTGTTCTAATAAACTTTATCTTAATTAATTTTTTGTTTAATCTAATTATATTCTTTAATAAAAGACACAGAATCAGGTTCTGTCTTTAAATGTTTAGAAGTTTCAAATTTTAAATTATTTTAAGAAAAATCATTTATATTTCTCTAGCTTTGTGATTTTAAAAGATTCTTATGTAAATTTGTAAATTTCAAATCTTGATTTAATTATGTATTATTATATTCATTTTAATATTCTTATTAATCTATATATTTAAAATTGTTTAATATTGTTTTTATTTCTTATATTTTGTCCATTATTTAGAAAAGAAAGTCTGGATTTTATTCAGTTTGCTTTTTTTCTGGTCTATTTGTATTTTATTCCTAAAACTAAGAAAGCACACTCTAACATTAATTGTAAAATTTAAATAATTAAATATTAGGATTTAAACTTTAATAATCAATATTTGTTTAAAAATGTTGTTATAATTAAGAAAGACTGTTTATTTATTTAACTTATTCTAAGCTTTATTATTAAAATGTTTTTTAGTATTAATTTAGGAATAAATCTGATTTGTTTATAGTTTAGTTTTATAAATTATTAAAGGTTTTTAACAACATTTATATTTGGTTTATTATTTAAGATTTTAATTATACATAATTTTCATAATTTTGTTAAAATTAATTTTATTATTTTGTTTGATTTTTCTTTATATTTTCTAAATCTTAGTTTATTTAAATTTATATTTATTATAGCTTTTATATTAAAATAGGTAATTATTGATCAAATGATTATATTTCTTATTTCTAATTATTATTTTATTTAGTCTATTAAATACATTTAATGCAATAAAATTTATTAGTATTGAAATCGTAATAATTTAAAGTCTCATATGGATGACAATCGCAAAAAACATTAGTAGAATTTGAATAAAAGTTCTGAAAATTTATATTAGAAATTTAATTGTTATTATATATCGAGATGTTTGAAATCGGATGTTCAATATTTGGTTAAATTTATTCTTTTGAAAAATAACCGTTTTACTAGAAATTCTATTAATAGTTTTGTTCTATATTAGGAAATATGTAAAAATCATTTTATTATTAAGATAAAATATTTTGTTTTTATTTTGATTATTAATTATATTGATTGTTAGATTATTTTGGTATGTTATTTTTTTATTATTTTTATAAATTTTATTTGTTTAAATCGAAATTGTTTTATTCATCTTAATCCTTATTATTTATTAAATGATTATTTGTTAAAGGTAAGTATTATTAATCAATATTATTATATTTTTAATGGTTTAAAGTTTGCTCCTTTTTAAAAAATGAATTATTATCTTAAATCTATTCATTTTTATTTTAATATTTTATGTCTATTAAAATTTTATTTTTGCTTAAATCTTTAGAATTTTAAAGTTATAAATTTGGTTCATCGAAAATATTTTATTATTTAATTTTATTAATTTATTAATTAAAATCATTTTTATTATTATTTTTGATTTATTAAATATCATTTTAGATTAATTACTGTATATTATTATTATTGTCTTATAATTATTTCTATGTATTTTTTTGCAAGAGATGATTACTATTATTATTATTATTTTATATTATTATTATTATTATTAATATTATTATTATTAATATTAATATTATTTTCTATATTTTATTTATTTATAACAATACTATTTTATTTTTATATTTCATTACTAGATTAATTAAAATCATCATAATTAATTTCTTTTTTATAAGATAAGTCTTATTCTACAATATTTTCTTCATCGTATATTTCTTGTACATCTTCTAAATTTTTTTTATCTTAATTTCCCTAATCTTATTAATTATTTATTAAATATTAATTAAACTAATATAATTCGTTCATTTATTAATTTTAATTCATAATTTCTTATTCTTCTTATTCTTAATGCATATTTAATATTGAATCTTTTATTGCTTCAACTGAATCAGAATCTAACTCTGTAATACATTAACAATGTAAACATTCAACATTTATTGTTATTTATCCTTAAAAATTCTCATCTTAATACATCTAAAGTATTTATTCATTAAAATATTCTTTATGAATAAACCATGATGCCATACATTCTAAACAAAAACTATGACTACAATTTAATTCTATATAATTTACAGGAAGTACTTAACATTTATTACATTTTACCATATTTTATTGCTAAGAATTATTTAATTCATCTTCTTTTTCATCATTCATTTCATTTTATTATTAGCTATTATTATCTTCTTGTTAGAAATAATTTTTCATTTATTTATTTTTGCTTTTTTTTTATGAAACTATATTATAAATTTGAATTTTTTTTAATTTTTTCTTTTATCTTATAAATATAAAATAAGTAATTTTTATATTGAAAAGAAATAAAATCTTAATAATATAATAATTTATAAAAAAAAAAATATTTAAAAAAAAAAAAAGTAAAAAATTGTTATAAAAAAAAAATAGAAAATAGATATATAATATTAAAAAAAATATCAAATTTTTCATTAATCGTTTTTTTATTTTTTTTAAGGAAGAGCAGTAACAACTTCATCTTCAATACCGCATTCATTGCTTCCTCTTAAAATTTTAAAAGTACCTTAATCACCCCATGTTTCATTCCAAGAATTTACAATTAACCAGTAAGGAGTATCGTTTTCGACTCCCCAACCAATCATTTTAACTGCATGTCCTCCTAATTATTCTCCAGTAACATGTTAATAGACACCTGACTTATAAGTAACGAAATCTTCATATACAGTAAAAGCGACTTCAACAGGTCCATTATTCATAATTTCTGTCATAATAGCCTTAGGATCAGACGATACACTGTATGATTTTTAACCTTTATAAAGATCTTCATTATAAGGTCTTTTAACTTTAGAATCATCATCACATTTTTTTTTACATTCAGGAGTAGGAACTTCACCTTTGCAAGGAGGATATTTAGTAGAAGCTACATGATGAGCACAAGGGGGGAAAGAATAAGCCTAACAAAAGTTGTTATCTCCAAAAAGATCACCAGTAACAAGTCCTGTTTTAACGAAATATTGCATTGCAGCTTCTGGGTATCCTCCATTACAGCCATCACCGCATGAACTGCAACAAGATACGAGATTTTCGGTAGAAAGTCTTACATCTTCACCTGTATGAATACATATTCTATCAGATAAAGATTCAGCAGCAGCAAAAGCCCAACATGAACCGCATGTTGATTAATCTCTAACTTCATTCAATGAAGGACATTTGGAACCCCATTATTTTCTAGAATCAAAATTTTTGGGTAAGTTTTCAACTACAGTGGATACTTTTTCTAAATTAATTCCTGATTTAGATTCTCTTAATACTCCCATATGAGCTTTAATTCCAGCTATGTCCATATTTTACCATCTTTAATTCTCACCAGCCTACCAGGTAGTCTTTAAGCTGTTTACTTTCTTAGCAATATTACCAAGTTTGTTTTGGTAAGCTTAATTAGGCTCGTCAAAGGTAAATTTAGAGTGTTTGGAATATACATAAACTCCAAAACCTATTAAGGAGGATAATACTAATGTTAAAATTAAGGCTGTTTTCATTTTTGTTTTATTTTATTTTTGATTTAAATATATTAATTATTAATTTTTATTTTTTTCTTTAAAAATACATAGAAAAAATTCTTTTATAAATTACATATTTATATAATTAATTTTAATTTTTATTATTTATCATGTGAATAAAATAAGTTAAAAATTTATTTGATTATATTTTTATTTTTTATTTTTTTATATTAATTTAATTAAATAAAATAAAATTTCAATCTTTTTTTTTATATTAAAAATGCATAACAAAATTGAATTTCGAATACATTATATTATTAGACTTTTATTTTATTAATTTGTATATTTTTGATTTTATTTTTATATTGTCAACAAAAAATTAAGTAAAGACTTTTGTCTATAATATTTTTTTTTAAAAAAAAATTAAAGTATTTCATTTTTAATTGTTTTTATATATTTTATAAAATGGTTAATTTAAAGAATATAAAAAAATTAAAATATAAAATTTTTATATTAATATATATATATATATATATATATATATATATATATTTATTTATATTTTTATTTTATTAATTATTATACTTTTTATATACATAATAAATTATATTTTGTAATTTTAATTTATAATTTATATATGATTTAATTGAATATTTTTTTTTTTTTAATATGTTATTAATATTAAATATTAAATTTAAAATTTTTTGAATTCTAATACTAGAAAATAATAAAAAATATTTTTATTTAGAAAAAAAAAATCAATAATAATTTTATATATTTAAAAGTTATTCGTTTGTAGCAATTTTTAAAAAATAATAAATATATAGATTTTAAAATACATCATGTGTCTTTATTTAATATTTAAATTTATTTTCAACAACAAATTTTATATTATTTTTTTCCAACTTTAGCTTTACAATTTGGACAATAATGAGTTCTATCTTTAAACTCATCCATACAACAAGGAATTAAAAAGCAGCAACAACCTACAAGACAAGTTTATACTCCAATTGAAGTTTTTACAAAGGTAGTTACTTTTTAATTACAACTTGGACATAAAATAATAACAGGGAACTTTTATTAATTTCCATTATTAGGTAAATAATTCTATAAATAAAAATTTATTCATTTTTTTTTTAACATTTTTTTTTTATAAATTACATCATTAATATTCTATATTTCTGGGAATACTTTTAATCCTTACTTTAAACCTGCATCTTGTTATCGAATTTATTAAGGAATATATTAAGTAGGGTATTAAGGAGGTTATTATTAATTAGATTATTAATATTACGATTATTATATTTAAGGGGGCAGAGGAATTGGATATTATTACATAATCGGTTGTTATTAAGCAAAATAAACTCCAGGATATTGCTATTAATTTTATATTTCTGGTTATTAGAATTATTATTGTTAATAATGTTAAGGTGATTAACCTTATTGAACGAATTATTATTATTGAGGATATTATTATTAAGCTTGAAATGTACCAGGTTATTATGTATAAAATACTGGTTATTAAGGCATTTAGGCAGGAACATATATAGGTTATTATATACCAGGAAATTATTATTATTATTATTGATACATTATTTTTTATTTTTTATTTTTTTCTATAATAATAATAATTATTATTTTTATAACTTTATTTTGATTGTTTTACTTTATTTATTACTGCATTATTTTACAGTAGTTATATAAAACATTTATTACTAAAAAATTACGGATTTAACTAATATTTTTTTATGTATTAATACTAATATAATATAATTTAGTTTATTTATTTATTTTTTTTAATATAGACATTTTTTATTTATCTAAAAATGAAATATTTCATAAATATCTTTATTTTTTTAAAAAAATTTATTAATCTATTTTATAGTTTTATTTGTTTTTTGCTTAAAAAAAACTCATTTATTTTATTTTTAGTTATTATTTTCATCTTCCTCACAACTTGTATCTTCTAAATATTATATTTTTTCATATTTTTATTAGAAATAGTTAAATTCTTATTCCTTATTTAAATAATAATTACAAAATTATTCATATTACTTTTATTCATTTTCGCTTTAAAATTCTGTATTTATTAAGCTTTTCTATGTTACTTTGTTTTTTAAAGTACTGAAATATTTTTAATTTAGACATATTTAATAAAAAGATTTCATTAATAATTATTTCAAAAAATTAAAAAAAATATATATTATTAAGTTCTATATTATAAATATATATAATTTTTATTTTTATTTATTATTTATCAAAAGTAATAAATTAATAATCAAATAATAATATTTATTTAAGAAAAGTTAGAAATTATATTTTAAAATTATATTATCATTCTATTTATGTAGTTTTATCATTATTAATAAGAATTTTTTTTTTTTAAATAAATATATTCATAAAACAAATATATAATAATTTTGTATCTATTGATAAAGAAATTTTAGTAAGTTTTAGAACTAATAAAAGAATCAACAAAACTAAATATATCTTCATTGCATAAATTAAACAAACAAACAAAAATCAAGTAGCATATAATATATAATAAACGGTGTGTAATAAAAGAATATTCTTAAAATATTATTTATTTATAATATTAATAATAAATAAAATAATTTAAATGTATAATTATTAATAAACATAAAAAAATATAAATAGTAAAACTTTATAAATAATATAAAAATTAAATAAGTCAAAAGTATTAAAAATAAATAATTTAGTATTTTTAAAATAATTACAATATATCTTGAAAAAAAAAAAAAAAATTATATAAAAATATAAATAAAATATTATCCAAAATTAAAATAAATATTAAAAATAAAGTATTAAATAAAAATTATTTAATAATAAAATATTTAAAATATATGTAAAAAATAAATAAATAAATATATAAATATATAATTATATTAATATATAAATATTCAATTATATAAATATATTTA